CAATTTCTCTTATTGACTTGCCTTGTGATTTATAGGCATCAATCTGCTCTTTTTCATAATCAGATAAATTCTTTGTTCTACCCATTTTAGAACGTTGAACAACATAAAGAATTTGTATTACAATTAGATATGTAAGCTGATTTGTATATTTCAATGCTTGAAACTAAACAATATTCTATTTAATTCATGAAATAAGTGCCTGTCCGGATAAATATGTAACAGTTTTTTTGTACAAAATTTTCAAAAATATTATTTTCAGTGACAAAATGTTAATGCTTGATTAAAATTCTTATTTTGCAGTGTGGAAACAAGTAAATCCATGCTATTTTTAATAAAACATTTGTCACTTAATGCAGCAAATTTGGGTTTCACTTTAATTTTTTCGTGTCCGTATAAATTTGAAACACACCTTAAATATATTTTGTATATTAAACCTGAAGCCTCATAATGTATAGATACATAGTCAAATGATTGCCTTAAATACTCGAGCTATAAATCCGTTATTTTTAATAATTATACTAAGAAATTTTCTGCTTTCAAAAATGATAATACAGTAGAACCTCGAAAACTCGTCCCTCGATAACTTAGCACTCCGGATAACTGGTCCACACCTTGGCAGGGCGAAAAAATCCTTAGTTAATTAATTTTCATTATAGACAGCTTTATAAAAGTATAAAAGCTCTCAAAGTATTTTTCTGAGGTCTGTCTTATCAGGTAAATTACTGTACACAGTGTTATTCATTAATTTTCATTTTCATGTAGTAAAGGCTCTATGCCTTCATAAAGGACGTACTTTTCCTTTGTTTAAGGGTATTTGGGCAGTTTATTCTCTGTTATATTCTGTACGAGTAAATACTGTACAAGTACAGTACAGTATTTTCTGAGGAAATACTCGTACTTATTTTTTTTAACCCCATTCCCGATAACTCGGCCACCCTTCGGTCCACATTAGGTCGAGTTTTCGAGGTTCTACTGTATCTACGAAATTTTAGGGTACTTTATAGCAAATCTGCGCAATCTGGGAACGCTTGAATTGAGGAAATAAGTTCTAATAGTGGGAGGGACGTTAGACGCTCGAATAAATGACTTTTTTTTTTTAACTCGTCACTCTGTGGGCACTAAGAAGAACTCTATTAGCAAGCCCCACAATGGAGCGACCGGGTGGTGAGGGACGGGGCCGACATATCCGAACGGATCACCCCCGAAAAATTCCTGGGGATTTTTCGACCCGTCCGGATTCGATCTCGGGTCCGCCAGAGCTGTAGGCTGCCACCTTAACCGCTTGGCCGTCCGAATAAATGACGTTTTAAAAGTACAGTACCAGTCTGTCATTTTGAGAGATCCGCTTTTGCGTCGACGGCAGAGCCTCAAATTTTTATAAGTGGTTTAATCCGTAAACGCCGGGCCACATGTCTTATCATCCCGCCTCTCTCGTTGTGGGACTTATCGAATCCATAATGGGCGTTAAAAATGCGCCAGAACAGTTATAAAACACGGAATCAAAATTCGAGAAAAATAAATTCTTCAATCGTTCACCAATAAATTTTAATTAAAAAATAAAAAATTAGATTATTATTATTATTATAATACAACTTTAAAATACGTTTATTACAATCTTTAGAAAAATATATTAATACGTTTTAAAAATTTGTTACAGATTAAAAACTTTCAGGTGGCGCTTCTTCAAGATCAAAAGTAATCCGTGGAAATCGAGTGTGAAGGTGGGAAATGTCCAATTTTAAGATGATAATAGGTCGCTTTGCCGGCCTAGCAAATAATATAAAGTTACGAAACACCCAATTAGCATTTATTTCTATCGCTAAACGTTCTATATGTAGCAAACAGATGAGAGATATTAATTATGTTAGACCTAAACCTTGGCCGTACGAGACGAAAAAATATAAGTTTTGGCACGGTTGGATTGATAATACAATGGATAGATTCGATGAAAATACTAAAATAATCGTTGTAGACGGTCCCATTGCAGCTGGAAAGTCGACATTTGCTTCCTCTCTCGCTGATGAACTCGATATGAAATACTTTCCAGAACCGACCATGGACCGTCTTTATATTAACAAATACGGCTACGACCTAAGACAATTAGATGATAAATTACCTCCTCGTTGCAGAAGTTTTGATGTTAAGAAATTCTACGAAGATCCTACTAATAGTAATGTTGCCAAGTTTCAGATTTCTATGTATGCCCTGAGATTTGAACAGTATCTGGATGCTATGGCTCATTTACTCAATACTGGCAAGTATATCTGTTAAGATCATCGTTATTTTTTAGATATTAATCTACAAGTTAAAATACCTTTATAAAGAAAGTCGGCTCAATTGTCTCCGTGCGCTACTTACTAAACTAAAAAATGACTAAAATATCAAAATGCACGTGTATTGTCGAGTGAGGATGCGGAGTATTGTCGTTTAAGGCAAACGGAACGGAGAAGAGTTTATTGTCGTAGAAAATTTTTGGCATTTGTACGGCCGGCGTTGGTTCCGTTTGTTTACTAAGAAAATTTCAAAATTTGGATATTTCGATGTTTAATGCATTCAAAAATAGAATAAATATTTATTTTTTTGTGATTACTTTAAATAAGTAGTATTGTATTGCAATCTAACTATAAAATAGTAACACGAAAGGAAAATCATTTGGTTTTTATATTCTGGAAGATCGTCATCTAGTCCGTGTATTACGAGTTTGTGGATGCTTTCTGATGGGATTCCCCGTATGTATGGTTTCGTGTTTTCTTTCCTAATGGCTGTATAACTTTGTATTAATTTCCTTTAAAGTCCTTGATCATACTAGTTGGGTATCCATGCTCCTATTGGGGATACTTATGGAAGCATCTATGAATTAGTATTATGTGACTTAGAAAAATGGAAAATCATTATAGATGCAATGTTTGGATTTCACATAAATTTATGTAATTAGTGAACTTAAATTCATTCAAAGGCAATGTTGTAAACAAAATGAACAACAAAATGGTAAAATTAAAATATTTAAAGACCAGTTTATTTCAGATTTCTTCAGTTTGCTGAAATTAAACCAAGAATAAAGAATGTTTCAAAAGAACACACTTTAAATTTTTAATTTAAAGAGGGCTCTAGGAATTATAACAGTTTTTTAACAATGATAAAAACACAAGAATTAATATTTAAAATATATATATATACAGAATTAAANAAATATATAATCTAGGTTAAGGCTTTTATGTCCAACAGATGGCGCTACAAGTACGACACCCTAAGTTTGCTTTTCTGTGAAAATGAACTAAAGCAGATCATCATCTATCTATCTATATAAATAAAAATGTAATGTTCGTTTGTTCCTACCGATTCCTTTGAAATTTTGACACAACGCTACATTCGAATACGCACGTGTTTCTATATAATATACTGTTTAATAGGTAAATATAACAGTTATAGAGAATTTAAATTTTTAATTCAAGTAAAGCATATTGAAAGTATCTATAACTGAAACAGTTTAAGTCTTTAAAACATTAATGCAAAATGCATAAACCTTTACTATCTAAGTTTTATTTTATGTCAGTTATTGATTGAAAAGGCAATTTATAAATAAATGTATTCTTTTGAATCTTTTTAATAGTAAATATGAAGTGAGGAAATAGCTTATCTTTATATCAGTCTGTTTCTTCTGTCTTAATCTTCCCATGTCATATGGGAATGCCTGATATCTCCTTCTCATGCAGTTAATAGCTACTACAATCTTATTTGGCTGTTTTATGCTCCAGATGCCTTTCTTACTGCTGGTTCTCCTTACCCAGATTTAAAATTGATCAGTCACCAGGCACTAAATAAGATTGTCTTTTTGCAAATAATGTGGAAAACTATTAGAAACTCAAATGCTTATATCATAATTGATAAGAGGTTAAGAAACATAAAAAAACTAAAGCTTAAAGTAATTTCTTAAGAACCATGTCACTAAAGTATTCTATAAGCAATCATTTATTTCATACTTTTAATATAATGCTACTTATTTTTTATTTCTTAATAGTTAATTAATTCTAAATTTGTATTTTAAATAATTATTTATTATTACAAAAGTTATTTATTAATAAAAATAAATTTAATGTGATAACATTTAAAATATTTTTTAGGAAGTAGATGGCATTAATCCATCACATAGTATGTCATTTCTTATAGAAGCATTTGCAGGATGTTTACAGGTAAATATATAGAATTTAAGTTATATATATGAGAACATTTAATGTTACTTTTTAGAATTTAGATAGATTTAATGTAGTTTGATAACTTTCCAAATAAAAATTTTTAATCTTAACATTCCTGAAAAGGTTAGACACAAAACATAAACTGCATTTCTTTCTTTCATTAGTTTGAAATGTAGAACAAGCAGTTAATAGATATAATTTACAGAAAAACGGATTATTTTATGAAATTAAACTTTTAATGTCAAGCAAGTAATTTTCACACAAATCATCATCATCATCATTTAAACTCAGAAAAAAATACTGAATTCCAGAACATTGCTTATGAACCAAATATATTCATTTCAAAAAGTATTTCAATTCAGTACTTATGATTTGTAACTAATGTTCTGGAATTTTTTCCCACATATTTAGAGCCTAGTGATAGCTAATTAAGTTGCCTAAAGCATTTGTTTATGTGCAAACTTACATGTAGTATATTAAAAGTTTAGTTTTCTTAGGTTGAATAAATCCAATAATTGCTCACATTAGATGTGAATTTTATTTTTAATAATGCTTTACTAACTTTTTTATTTAACTGTATGAAATGTCATTAACAGTTTGTACAAATGTCATACAGACTGTAATGACAATCCTTATGGTTTAACTATAGAAGTTGAACAATCTAACTGTATGAATTTCAAGTAGTTATTTTTTTAAATTAAAAAAAGTAAATTTACTTTTTTTAATTTAAAAAAGTAAATTTACTTGAAAATAACTACTTGAACTAAACAAAGTTTTTTCTTTAAAATGCATTTTTCTGACTGTTTTAAAAAGTTATCAATGGTGAATCTTTAAAGCATAATAATTAATGAATGAAACTAAAAACAGTTTTAATCTATATAATCCAAAATGATATGAAATACAGTATTCACTAATGGTCTTTATTTTTCTTTAAGAAATTATAAATTGAAATTCTTTAAGCTATGAAATCATTCAATCCATAAAAATTTCTCAACCAACCCAAAGCTTAGTTCAGAAAATGTCAAAGATTTAATTAAGCAGATAACTAATTATTATTATTATTAAAGTTATAATTAATATGAATAAATTATTTTATATAAAAACTTTACTTATCTATTGTTTATTTATATATAAATATAAACAACAGCATTTTTATTTTATGTAAGAGTGTACTTGTGAGGTTTCTTTTATGTTTATATTAATGTAAAGTCTATATCATATAATGCTTGATATTATACAAGTCTAGGATATTAGCTGGTACTGAACTAAAGAAAAGCATATACTGTATTTACTTGCATATAAGAAGAGGTTTTTATTAATTTTTCACTTCTTCAAAAACCTAGTTCATCCTATATGTGCAAGCGAAGGATTTTGCGTTTTTGTAATAATTTTCGTGAATCGTGTATTCGCAATTTTCACCAGATGCTCACGCTCTGGTGTTTGAAAACAAAAGTATTTTATCTGGGTCATTTGAATCATTCTTGTGTACTGTCAGGAGTAAAGATGAATAGCAATAGGAAAAGCAAAGCTTTTGAATTCCAAAATCACGTGGGAGCCCAGTATAAGTTTTAATCCTTTCTCACATGAAAATAGATGATTATTCAGGAATCAGAGTTCGGAGAAACTCATAAGTGTAATCTATGGAGAGTGGATTTGACTGTTAAGAATTAGCAAAACAGGTTCCCGATTGTCCAGCTTTAAGTGAACAAATTATACCAATTTTACAAGATTTTTCCTTAAAGTTTAAAATGCCAGTAATTTATGTGGGACAATGTGTGCATTTACGTGCATTTGATAATATTTTATTTGTGATGAAACAAAATAAAATTAGAATTGTATTAATAAATCTAATTTTCTTTATTTTGATCTTTAAAGTCACACCTCGTCCTATATGCAAGGTCATCTTATACGTGAGTAAATACAGTATTTGTGCATTAGATCCCTAAAACTACAAGGCTCTAAGCAAATGCCTAGGATGCCTATCCCAAAATTACCACTGGCTATAAATGTTAAAATTTAGAATTTTATTTAAATTTTTTACTTTAAAATAATTAACATTTTAATCTTTTTCAGATTTATCTCACAATGTACAAGATGCAAAGAAAGAAACTGGTCTCTCTGATAATACTTGTTGTTGTAATTATTTGCAACATTTATCTTTGGGAGATAAAAGATCTTTGGCAAAGTCTGATGTCAATTATTGTTTCAAGCATAAACACTATATATATATTAAAGCAACAATCACAAGTGAAGAAACCAAATTATAATGTGTAAAATAAAAAACCATGCAACTAATTAAAATAGTAACAAGATATTTCGGTGCTGGCTTAATATGAATCCATATAAAATATTTATAGATTTTAAACTGAAAGTATTTTTATACTGTATTCTAAATTTGTAGAATTTGTATTAAACTGATAAAAAGTAAACATTTTCAAATGATTGAATTTTTAGATATGCATTTGTTAGATATAAATAAATGTTAATAAATTGTTAAATGGACAAATTAAAGAATTTGGGCCAAAATTTTTATTAATATCTATTTGTTCAAGGTGTGTTTATGATATTCATTGTGCTTCATTACAGTTATTAATAACGATTATCCATTGAAACAGTTTTTATTAAAGAATTTAAAATTTTACTGTTATAAATATTAAATAAAAGTGATTTGTTTTTAGTATAAAAAAGATGTAATGGCTGAATTGTAGAGTTTTTTTGAACTTTTAATTTATTTCACATTGCAAGCATTAAGAGGGCCATGTTTTCATGTTATAAAATCCATTAGGCTTACAATTGGGTAGTGAGAGATAAAATCTTGATATTACTGAAGTCAACCAATCCACAAAAATTTGAGCCAACTCAAACTTGAATCAAGTCTAACAGAATGGTAGGCTACTCCATTAATTGCCAGATGGATGATGTGTGCTTTTGGTGATAAGGGCATGTATTGATAACTGTTCTGGGAGACACTTATTTTAAATCTGGATCAAAATTTTCCAAGAGTGCCAGATATGCCAGATCTACTTTCCCAATTTGGACTAGCCAAACCAACAATGAGCATGAATAAACCCTCTAATGTCCCCAAAATGTGAAGAGTTTGAAAAACAAAAAATATATAAAATTTATTTAAAAATAGTTATAAAATATTTAATTTTGATCTGATTTAAATGTATGAGGATTTAATTTTGTTTAAACACAAATTCTGATTGGAAAATCTACATTTTAAAATGCATCCAAATTTTTCAGCTGACAATATATTTATTACTATTAAATATAAGAATTTATATTATAATAATAATGCCACATTTATAATAATAATTATAATGAATAGATTAAGTTGATTATTTATTATATAGAATTAAAATTTGTGATTTTGTTAAATAAATTTTAAATTTCTGTAAATAAAAGTTCTGAATAATAGCTGTAACTCTTATAAGTATTCATATTAATTTATTTTATGTCATATTACAAGATTTTTTTATTTTTCTATATTTTATGAGGTGAAAATCATATTAAAAGATGTAAAATTTCATATATAGAGATAACTTTTATCTAAAATCTAAAAAATATGAACTATTAAAATAGGTTTTTAAATTATATTATAGTATTTCCCAGAATAAGAATGCAGCTAATGATACAAGGTCTGTTCAAAAAGTATCGGACCTTTGGTCGGCAAAAATAAATTTATTGACTTTGAGGTACAAAACCCTAATCCCCTTCAAAGTAGTCTCCTTGGTAATGTATACACTTCTCCCAGCGTTCCTGCCATTGCTGGAAACACTGCTGGAACGCATCTTTTGGAATGG